TGGGTGATGTAAATGAGAAAAACAAAGTTCATTTATCACAAGGAGTGTTCCTAAAATGACCGCACATGTTTGTTGTCTTGATGATTTATTGAATGGAGCAATAAGGAGAAACTCATTTTCTTCCTAGGACACCTTCAGATGGGAAGTTGATGCCCCCCTGGGAGGGAGATCGCCCCACCCACAGCCCCATCATCATGGAGGGGGCGGCCTTCAAGAAGGGCACATCTAATGTCCGACGACATGCATCCTTCCATGGCTTGCTGCCCTCCAAGCAGGACAAACACGGTGCTCAAGCTTGCGAGGTCAGTGAAGGATATGTTCCTGCTCCGCCAGCACATCTGCTGCTATTGCATTAACTGTGGTATAAATGCCACCGTATGCCACCCAATTAGTGAGTTTTTGTATAAGGCAGGCTCCAATCAGATCCAGGGCAAAATTTTCTTGGGGTGAAAGGGGGCTTAAGCCATAAATGTGTGTCAGTATTTTAAACATTTAATAAATGTGAGGGATTGGCGATGGTTGACGGGTATGCTGTCTTAGGAACATCTGCGAGCTGCTAATAAAGGAGGCGACAAAGTCAGCATTAGAAATTGGCACTGGTCCTGTAGTCCTTGCCAAACTGCCCAATAGTTAAGGTATTCTAAGGACGAGTAAACATTTGTCCTTTTTAAGGGTTTTGCTATATGTTATCATTATAAGGACTAGTAAGCTAAACCTGTTAGTTTCTATCGCGGCAAAGTGATACTGCATCACCACCAGCATCAGTCAACACCAACAGACTTGTCAACACATGAAGTTAAACATAAACTTGCTATTCTGTCGTATTGCTATTCTGATATTTCAAGGGCTTGTGTAATGTCAAACACCTTACACCCTGCTGGCTAGTTCAGAAGCTTATTGTTGTGTGTGTCGTGCTTAGCTATGGCATGTTATTAAACATTCCAGAATAATTTCTAGAATTACGTATGACTGGCGTTGTTGGTTTCAGGAGGGGGATCCACAGAGGAGTGATCACGGCAGCATGGCATTGCCCACGGTGAGTTTATAACGTGTTTGTCAAGTAGATCACATGCACCTGTCTTCACTGCGTTTCTCATATGTGTTCATTGACTCACTCCATATCCTTTACTTTACATCAGAAGAAAGAAAACATATCTCAAACATTTACTTGTCATATGTTTGAAACGTAAAAAAATGACAAAAAAACAAACTTTATTTTTACTTTTAATGTAAAGTTTGACCAAAAGGGTCAATTTCACGAACACTGTTATTATCTGAATCATTGCTATTCTAATCTATGTCAAGATATATGTCAGTCTTAATCCTTTTCCTCATCCAAGACCTATTCTTTACATCATCAAATCTTCTTCAAAATACTCTGTCAAAATAATTTCTCACAAGAATGCTCCTCTATACCCCTATCATCATCTTCATCGTCATCATCACTGTCATCATGTGTCTCACATTTTCATGTTTTTCCTCCACCAGGACTAGCTCACATCTACAGATTAAGACAAGGTAGTATTTTGTCTCCAGTTTGTTTCATAATGTTAGTCTAGTTTTTTGTTAGAATATGTAGCCCAAATTGTGTGCAGTCAAATAGCTTCTTATTGTTTCTAGATATAGATGCAAGTCTACATCTGTTTTTTTAATTTTTTTATTACGGTCTTATTTTCTGTATTCTATTTTAGTTAGTTATTAAGTTGAGAATATCTTAGATAATTATTGTGATTTTCTCTTTGATTTTTTCCCATTATGTGAAATATTTTTGTTTTTATTCTTCACGGAGATCTTTAACTGTCTTGGTGCCACGGGACATTCGTGATGGTTGTTCACTATGTGACTCCCTTAGTTCCACAGGACCATATATGGTCCCTCAGTATGCAGCCACCTTAGTGCCATGGACCATATATTGTCCCTCACTATACAGCCACCTTAGTGCCACGGACCATATATGGTCCCTCACTATACAGCCACCTTAGTGCCACGGACCATATATGGTCCCTCAGTGTGCAGCCACCTTAGTGCCACGGACCATATATGGTCCCTCACTATGGAGCCACCTTAGTGCCACAGGACCATATATGGTCCCTCAGTATGCAGCCACCTTAGTGCCACAGGACCATATATGGTCCCTTAGTGTGCAGCCACCTTAGTGCCACGGACCATATATGGTCCCTCAGTATGCAGCCACCTTAGTGCCACGGACTATATATGGTCCCTCACTATGGAGCCACCTTAGTGCCATGGACCATATATGGTCCCTCACTATGCAGCCACCTTAGTGCCACGGACCATATATGGTCCCTCACTATGCAGCCACCTTAGTGCCACAGGACCATATATGGTCCCTCACTATGGAGCCACCTTAGTGCCACGGACCATATATGGTCCCTCAGTATGCAGCCACCTTAGTGCCACGGATCATATATGGTCCCTCACTATGGAGCCACCTTAGTGCCATGGACCATATATGGTCCCTCAGTATGCAGCCACCTTAGTGCCACAGGACCATATATGGTCCCTCACTATGCAGCCACCTTAGTGCCACAGGACCATATATGGTCCCTCACTATGCAGCCACCTTAGTGCCACAGGACCATATATGGTCCCTCACTATGGAGCCACCTTAGTGCCACGGACCATATATGGTCCCTCAGTATGCAGCCACCTTAGTGCCACGGATCATATATGGTCCCTCACTATGGAGCCACCTTAGTGCCATGGACCATATATGGTCCCTCAGTATGCAGCCACCTTAGTGCCACAGGACCATATATGGTCCCTCACTATGCAGCCACCTTAGTGCCACAGGACCATATATGGTCCCTCACTATGCAGCCACCTTAGTGCCACAGGACCATATATGGTCCCTCACTATGCAGCCACCTTAGTGCCACGGACCATATATGGTCCCTCACTATGCAGCCACCTTTGTGCCACAGGACCATATATGGTCTGTCGTATATCTGTAGTATATAAACATTTCAGGCTGTCAGCATAAACCACAAAATTTACGATCTTTCAACTCTAATATTCTAATTTTGAGAGCGCTTTGGGCGCTTATTATGTCGAATATGGTATATATTTCTAATGAATTTCTTAATTATCAAATACTTTGATTACATATGTATTTGGTAATATTTAGAACAATTTGGCTAATAAATAAAAATTAGAATTTATACAAACAATTTTTTTTTTAATATAAAGATGGATTCTTATGTTTTTTTAGATAGTATAACACTATGTATGTACCCCCAGTGCTCTAGTTTAGCTTGACAAAATAATATATATAAAAACAATACACAATCACTAAGAAACATTTATTTTGTTATATTTTTTATAGTTCAATGCTGTAAAACAGTTGCGGCACTGAACTGTATACAAGCTGACTGACAGCCAGGCACCGTGAGGGTTAAGCAGTTTTAAAACAATGAAATATCATGTGAGGCGAACACCATCACAAACAGCACCCAGACACCCGTGACATGTATTTGTAGACTTGATTGATGTAGACTCCAAAGAAGATGATGGTTTTGCAGTGTTTAGTTTAATTGGTCAGTCTATTGTTTTCAGGTTATTTAAATGAGAAACATATGTATCTTATTGAAAAAATTATGACTTTGCTCTAAGTGTTTTTCATTCGTCTGCAACACAGTCAGAGATGCAAAAAGATAAACATCACTGATGCTTCAAGGGACATAAGTACAGTAAAGCTCGAATACTCTCTTCAGTTATACAGGTTACACTGTAACAAAATTGAACTGAAAATTCCCACTGTTGATATTTCAATATTAGCCAAGGATATGAATAGTTTGCTTGAAGTAAGTAGGATATATTTTTCAAGATTTGTTTTCATTTCCAGGACTTGATCAACAAGGTTCGCAGAAAACTCCGCTCACGTTCTCCGAGTCCGTCCTTGCACCAACCCGTCATCTCTGCTCAAAAACAACACAAGTCCTAGCCAGATAGACTGATTCTGCCTTACTGCATATGTGCCTATATATGATGCTATCCTGGATGTACTTGTCACCAGAAGTGTGGCGACCCAAGACATCAGAGTTATCTGCCCCTGAATTAAATCAGATGAGACTTGCTACACACTGACATATGAGTTCTCATCTCATAGCCTATCTGGATACTGGTATTTTGAAATATAAAATATATGGAGGAGAGTGGTTCAAAACAATCAGCAACAGCCGTGACACAGACCTTGTGACCTATATTTGCCCTGAATCTGTATTCTGAGTGAACTTGTGAGAGATTGTCCGGATAGTCTGGCTATACATGTTCCGTGGACCTGTGCTGGGGTATATATGCATGTGTATGTCTACAGTGTTGTGGAAGTGTTTCAGTAAATTCTGTGGTAATTTAACCTATGGTTATTGCAGTTAACCTACTGGTAGACCCAGGTGAGATAGCAAGGCCGGCTTGTACTTAAACCCTGTTTGTTGACTGAATGGACAGCTTCTAGTATTCAGCCGGAGACAAGGTCCACAGATGAAGATCTGCATCACTTCAGGTTTTCCTCCTACATTAAGCTGACACGTGATGTAACTGAAATTGTGTTCAAACTGGGTTAAACCCAGCTCGCTCTCCAACAAAAGCAGTTGCCATTAACAGTAACGCAGTATTTGTGGAAAGCTTAGGGTCGTCCCCTGAACGTGTGGCACCCACTTTTCGAAAGTGAGTCTTTGTGCATCTTCAGTACATGTATATCTACCAGCAGCCAACATGGACAGAGGTCATGTCATAGTGCCTGCTAGTATGTGGAGTGCGGCATTCTGTGTTGTGTTCACTATGAAGTCCTGTGACAAGTAAATTGCTGAAGAAGTTGAGAGCTCAAAACACCATGGAGAATATGTTTTTAGTGTCATAATAATGTGATGTCAACATGTTATTTTGTATGGAAGCCTTTTAGTGCCATTTGTTTTTTTAGTTTTTTCTTAAAAATGTCAAGATTATAAGTTGAAATATCAAGATACAAAGTTGAAATTTCAAGATACATACTAAGTTGAAATTTCAAGAAAATGATTTTGAAATTTCAACTTATTATCTTGAAATTTCAACTTATGTATCTTGAAATTTCAAGACAAAAACAAAAAAACAAATGGCCCCCAAAGGCTTCCGTAATTTTGAGTTAATGTTTTAGAAAAACTGCCAACATTTATTTTTCATCATAGATAGATGTTTTTATGTTACTAGATTACTACTAAGTGAAGAAGAAGACAATTAGTGTCTTTTCCGACAGTTATACAGATGATGATATTCTTGAAGACATGGAATAGTCAGGTGACTCAGGTACATGGAGATCAGAAGCCTTGGAACAAACTGGGGGGGGGGGGGGATATCAGCTTATGTTCTGTTAGACATTTATTCAAAATGCTGTATTGCCATTGTAACTGACAGACACTAACAAACTATCTCTTGCAATCATTACATATCTTAGGTTATTCAAGTTTTCAGTTGTTTTTGAGTTTACAGAACAAAGTTATGAGTAAATCAAAGTTTTTGTCTGAGATGAAAAATGATTTATTCAGTTCTATCAAAACAAGTAACAGAACAAATTGTTTCTTTTTTTTTGTGTATGTGTGACATAAGTGATAATTATGTTCACTGTTGATCTCACCCAAACCATACGGGACCCAGTCGTCTGAGGTGCCAAATGTGCTGCCTAGAGTTGCCTCCCTTAGTTGCCAGGATGCTATGATTGTGGGTTTGAATCCAAGATTCACCTTAAGTAATATTCTTGGGACAATACCCATGCTCATGGGTTTCGCCAAAGCAGTTTCTGATTCATTTTAAGATTCCCTCCCGCATTAAACTGACACACTGTGATATAAGTCCTATTCTGTTCGAAGCAGCAATAAACACTACTGAAAGCACTTTGTGTTAGGCTGACACGAATGAGTTCATGGTCACCGTGTACATTTCTTGATAGTATCTCTTGTTAGGGAATAAATTGGAAGCAGACAATTACAAATTGTGATGAACGTTTTTGAACACTTTAGGCTTAAACAAATAAAAGAATTGTTTCTCAGGCAGTGACTGTTGAAAATATAGTGTGGGCAGCCATCATGGTTTTTTTTGGGTTTTTTTAGGGGGGGGTTCAAACTGGTACATAACCAAATAAAAAGTTGTGTAACCAAATAAACAAATGTGTACAATCAACCTGGGAAAGGGCCTCCCTGCATAAATATATTCCTTGATGAGTAAAAAACTGGAATGCAGTATTTGGCTACCATTGGACTTGGAATATGCAAGGATTTTTATTGTTTTTTAAAAATGGATATAAAACGAAACGTGTGGCAAACTTTATGAGGATGAGGGTGGGCGGGGTCTTGTTAAAGACTTAAAGTAAATACCTAAAAATTGCGACAAAATATTGAGATAAATATTCCTATATTTCTTTACCAGTCCCGGGGCGGTCGGGTAGCCTAGTGGTTAAAGCGTTTGCTCGTCACGCCGAAGACCCAGGTTCGATTCCCGACATGGGTAAAATGTGTGAAGCCCATTTCTGTTGTCCCCCGCCGTGATGTTGCTGGAATATTGCTAAAAGCGGCGTAAAACCATACTCACTCACTCACTTTACCAGTTCCTGTCCACTGTTGTTTTCACAGATATTTATGAATGAAAATATGTTTTTGGGGTAATTCTGTTATTACTGTGTGATTGTGTGATACAATTCAGAAAAAAGCTGTTCATATGAATCAATGGTAATAAGCTGCTTCCTAAATTATTGTAGACCCTGCATTTATACTTGTCACCTTGTCTGTTATTTATGATATCGCCATGGAAACATCAATATGTCGCCACTAAAAATACATGTTAGGTCTGAAAAGTACACTATTCAAATACTTTGAATGAAAACAAGCGCTAATGATAAATAAATTCCCTTCCTTTCATAAAGTCTGCAGAGGATGTGGAATCTGGGTCAGGGCAAATGGGTCAGTGTTCTGTTGTTAAAGTAAACTGAAGGAAGATCGATTGACAATACTTGCACATGTCACTTTGATCCTGTTCTACATAACTTTTGTGCTGTGTAGGCAAAATAGAGGTAAAAGACTATTTGGTATATTGGTCTTTCACTGTTGAGTGGAGCATGCTCTATTTCCACAACAAATAAACTACAATTACCTGTAAATAAATAAATAAATAAATAAATAAATAAATAAATTAATAAATTAATAAATAAATAAATAAATTTGAATTAAATTAAAATTAATTAAATTAAATGTAAGTGATACCTTGGCACTTGATGGGCTAGCCAAGCAACTGTTTGTGTGTTTGTGTGTTTGTGTGTTCATGTTTCCATAAACCTAAAAATGAATTAAGCCACATCCACTGGCTGACTTCTGTTTCCTTATTGGCTGATAATAGTGGGCTTGTTTTGAAAGATGTCACTGGTTTCGTATTGTTGTCTACTGTGGTTTTGTGTTAATGACTAAAAAGCAGTCTGTGAAGTTATTATTGTTGATTTTTTAAGGGCTACGCGGATTTACACAGTGTGCATGTCAATATTTATATATAAACGCAAAGTATATTGAAGTCAACTCTGAAATATTTACAGTTATTATCCTAGCCCTTTGTTAATAGGAGAGCTTTATGATAACTAACATTACCACAAAGTGTGTTTCCTTGGTTTAAGATACTGTTCATCTCCATGTATTTGTTTCTCCAACGGGTTACCAAACTTGCAACAAAAGTGACAAAAACTTCAAATTCCAACCGAAATTATGTGTATGAGAAAAGACCACATTTTCTAAACTTCTCTAACCATTTATATACTCCATACCAAGTAAATTAAAACCATGAAAAATAACGTATTCCCAAATTGTATGAAAGGACATGCTTTTGACTATAAAAGATACGTTAAAATAAAAAAAGAAATATTTTAGATAAAATGTAATTAAGTAAGAAGATGTTGAAATGTGTAGTGTAGTTGTTAAAAAGTGCAAAAGCATTTAGTATAGTATAGTTGTTTTCCTCAGCATTTAAAGTATATTGTCCAGTATGCCAGCATTTATTATGTACAGTATTATTATTATTATTACATGTGTATACAGGCATTTTGGTCCCATTTCACAGGTTCTCAAGAGAATGTCATTTAAATCTTTTCACACTCTCCTTTTTGTTGGTTGATATTAGCTAACTGATCTCAAGACCTGGCGGAAATGTCATTGAAGTCAGCTGGGGATGCTGAATGCAGTTGTTTTGGTCTGTTGTTGTTAATCAGGTTGTTGATGCTGAGAATGTACTATTCTCCTTGATACTTGTATTCTCTATACATTTTCTAATGAATATATGTGCTCCATTACACAGACATTTGACAAAGTTTGTATTGAAATAAATCATCAACTATTTTGTCAAGATTAGTTCTTTTCCTGGGGATGGGTGTATGCATCCTTTGTGGTTGGTGTCACAAGAACCTCAATACCACTTTTGCTCCTAACGTTTGGTAAATGGTGATATATGTCATCATTCAATTCATAGAATGATACTTATCTTGAGGAAAACGTTTAATGATATTTATTTTGAGGTACATAATGCTACTTATATTGAAGTATATGTATAATGATACTTGCCTTAAGGTATACGTATAATGCTACTTATGTTGAAGTATACATATGATACTTGTCTTGAGGTATCTGTTTAATGCTACATATATTGAGGTATATGTTTAATGCTACTTATATTGAAGTATACGTATAATGATACTTATCTTGAGGTATCTGTTTAATGCTACATATATTGAGGTATAGGTATAATGATACTTATATTGAAGTATACGTATAATGATACTTATCTTGAGGTATCTGTATAATGCTACATATATTGAGGTATAGGTATCTGTATAATCCTACATATATTGAGGTATAGGTATAATGATACTTATATTGAAGTATACGTATAATGATACTTATCTTGAGGTATCTGTATAATGCTACATATAATGAGGTATAGGTATCTGTATAATCCTACATATATTGAGGTATAGGTATAATGATACTTATATTGAAGTATACGTATAATGATACTTATCTTGAGGTATCTGTATAATGCTACATATAATGAGGTATAGGTATCTGTATAATCCTACATATATTGAGGTATATGTTTAATGCTACTTATATTGAAGTATACGTATAATGATACTTATCTTGAGGTATCTGTTTAATTCTACATATATTGAGGTATAGGTATCTGTATAATCCTACATATATTGAGGTATATGTATAATGCTACTTATATTGAAGTATACGTATAATGATACTTATCTTGAGGTATCTGTATAATGCTACATATAATGAGGTATAGGTATCTGTATAATCCTACATATATTGAGGTATAGGTATAATGATACTTATCTTGAGGTATATGTATAATGATACTAATCTTGAGGCATACGTATGATGGTACTTATCTCAGGACACAAAAAGGATGTCCATGACACTTATCTCATATACAGAAAAGGATACCTATTTCATATACAAATAATGATTCTGTTCTCATGCTAGGAAACATCATGATACTTATCTCATATGCATATAACTCTTATCGTTATATATGTATGGTACTTACTTCAAGGATATGTCTCAGGAGAAGGTAAACTATATATACAATGATGCTAATGTAAATAAGGATGATTCACATGAGGAGATATACACATGACGATAGTTATCTCTTGATGTATATGTATAAATATATCATAATGTATATCTCTTGGTATGTAAAAAGAAATGCTTATGTTTAAATGAAAGTGACCAAACCCTTTCCATAATCAGAAATCTCTGCTAAAAGCAGAGTTCATTTTACGGTTCTGACTACAGTCAAGTCTCGTTAATCCGACACTCATTAATCCGACAATCGGATTAAATCAGTTCTATTTAGACCCGTTAATCCGACTAATCACTCATTAATCAGTCTCGTTATCTGACACAGTGATCAGCGTACTCCGTGGTCATCGTGATGCGAGACGAGACGGCGAGTAGCTGGATATTTCAACAGCTTCAGAGATAAACTTGCTTAACAATACACAATTACTGCTTTAAATAAACAGAACAGGATTTGAATCATTATGTATCGTATAGTTATCCAATTTTCGATCACGAATGTTGATACAACCTAATTTCGTTTATACGACATACTCGTAAATCTGACATAATCATATGCAACCAGCAATGTCGGATTAACGGGACTTGACTGTATATCATAAGTTTGATTCGCTATCAGATGGTGATGATACCAGGTGTTTGCGAAAAGGTGTGCGCATCCTGCCCCACAGTCGTGAGAAGATCTTGTATGTCTCTATTTCCTGTGTTGAGTTTTTCTCAAATGTCTGATGTTCACTAGTACTGTAAACCTGCACTTTCTTAGTTACTGTGAGAGTTGTACATGAATGCATGTACTTCTGTATGTCAATACATGCATCACTATGAATGCATGTGCTGCATATGAATGCATGTGCTTCTGTGTATGAATGCATGCACCACTGTAAATGATTCCAGTGGTGTGAATGAATGCTTGCACTTCTGTGTATGAATGCATGGACCACTGTGCAGGACTTATGTATAGGAATGAATGCTTGCACCACTGTGCATGCTTGCACTTCTGTGTATGAATGCATGGACCACTGTGCAGGACTTATGTATAGGAATGAATGCTTGCACTTCTGTGTATGAATGCCTGAACCACTGTGCATGCTTGCACTTCTGTGTCTGTGTATATATGCATGGACCACTGTGCTGGACTTATGTATAGGAATGAATGCTTGCACTTCTGTGCATGAATGCATGGACCACTGTGCAGGACTTATGTATAGGAATGAATGCTTGCACTTCTGTGTATGAATGCATGGACCACTGTGCAGGACTTATGTATAGGAATGAATGCTTGCACTTCTGTGTATGAATGCCTGAACCACTGTGCATGCTTGCACTTCTGTGTATATATGCATGGACCACTGTGCTGGACTTATGTATAGGAATGAATGCTTGCACTTCTGTGCATGAATGCATGGACCACTGTGTTGGACTTCTGTATAGGAATGAATGCCTGAACCACTGTGCATGCTTGCACTGCTGTGTATATATGCATGGACCACTGTGCTGGACTTCTGTATAGGAATGAATGCCTGAACCACTGTGCATGCTTGCACTGCTGTGTATATATGCATGGACCACTGTGCTGGACTTATGTATAGGAATGAATGCTTGCACCATGATGAATGCTTGCACTGCTGTAAATGAACGCTTGCAGTTCTGTATAGGAATGAACGCTTGCACCACGATGAATGCTTGCACTGCTGTAAATGAATGCTTGCATTCCTGTGTATGAATACATGTGCTTCTGTGGGTGGATGCATGCATGGCTGTGTGTTGTAGTGAGCAGTTTTATGGATAATAGTACTGAAATGCTGACGGAATGTGCATGTAACAACTAGCTCTTGACTACACAATACATTACTACAATCATTCTCAATACAACAAACTTTTGATTTTTAGTAATACTAAGCAAACCATTTGTAGCATAAATTTTATGTAGCTGTATGTAGGATATGTGCTTGTGTCTGTAGAGTTTGTATTTTGCCATGCTGAACGTATGTATGTGTTCTGTACCAGGCTGTACCAGATGTACAATTCTTTGTACCATGCTAAATGAAGCCTTTGAGCAATTCCTTGTAGCATGCTAAATGAAACCTTTGAGCAATTCCTTGTTCCATGCTAAATGAAATCTTTGAGCACGAGTGGCCCAGTCATGTGAGGCATGACAATTTACTGTGCAGAGTTGCATCCCTTGGGCACCCCAGAAACCTATGATTGTAGGTTCAAATCCCTGTATGCCCCTATTGTGTTACCAGGTTTGTCAGCACCATACCGTGCTCGTGGGTTTCACCGAAGTGGTAAACATCTGAGACCTGCATCACTTCGGGCTTTCCTCCCACATTAAGCTGACACGCCATGATATAACTGGACTTCTGTTTAACGGCATTAAACTCACTTGCTCACCATATGAAACCTTCAATGTACAGTTATGTATCATGCTGTATGAGATTTTCAGTTTCTTGATTTATGCTGTAGTGAATGTTTCCATTTATGTTTATCAGATTCTTTGTGATATATGTGTATGTACCATCCTGTATGAGGTGTATAATTTCTTATCTCATGCTGTATCAAACTATTTTAATGTACCAAGTTGTATGCGATGTACCTTTTTGTGTCTCATGTTGAATGAAATGTAGCATTTCTTATCTCATGTTGTATGAGATATACCATCTTATGTACAGTGCTGTAGGAAACATTTTGTACTGTAGGAAATTTCTTCAATCAAGCTGTATGACATGGATCATTTTATGAACCATTCTGTATAAAATATGGCATTTTTTGTCTCAGTGTATGAAATGTAAATTGATATACTGTTTTATAGCTGTGTCAGATGTAGATGTACATAATACAACATCATGGGGTACCCACAGTGCCTACATAATAAACATTATCATGTCATAGATTGTGTGTGTGCTTTGTTGCTACTGGTCTACTCATCATAGAGGAGTTTGTCAGCAGTAATAAATAATAGGGGGGCATATGGGTGGCCCAGTCGTCTAAGGCGCCGCAATTCACTGTGCAGAGTTGCATCCCTTGGACACGACAGAAACCTATGATTGTGGGTTCGAATCCCAGTTCGTCCTGATTATGTTTCTAGGTTTGTCAGCACCATACCCATGCTCCTGGGTTTCACCAAAGTGGTAAACGTCTAAGACCTGCATCACTTCGAGCTTTCCTCCCACATTAAGCTGACACACTGTGATATAACTGGAATACTGTTGAAAGTGGCGTTAAACCCAACTCTCAACAACAGCCAGGCTGCTCACAGACACTTTTGCATTATTATTACCTGGGTCAGTGGATCAGTGTGCACTCGATTTTCATTCTCAGCTCCCTGGGGATCATACAATCCAAGCTTCTTGTGAGGTTCTAAAAGGTTAACAGTCTCATCTCACTTGGGCTTGAAGTGGATAATCTGTTTATTTTTGATTCCGATATGGGTACAATGTGTGAAGCCCATTTCTCGTGTCCCCCGTCGTGATATTGCTGGAATATTGCTAAAAGCGGGGTAAAACCATACTCACTCACTCAGGAGACAAGACTGGGGCAGTATACTGCTGTTCGCAGCAGATGAGTCCAGGTTTCATCTGGACAGCTATGATGGTCGTGCAATTGTCTACAAAACGTTTTAGCGAAGCATGCGTTACTCAACATCGTCGGTGTGGAGGTGGAAGCATAATCGTATGGGTATCACAAGTCATTCGAGAACACAACTCTTTGTGCAAATGCAGGGTCGTAACGCCACGTTACAGAAGGATATTGTCCGACCTCATGCTGCACGTGTTGTAATAGACCTTTTAATTCACCAACATTGCTGTCCTGCCAGCTGTCTCTCAGCCTCTCAGAATATGTCAGGGATGAGATGGACCGACGCCTACAGGACCCGAACCAGCCGGTAACGCTAGCTCAATTGGCCCAAACTCAATTGGAACGTTAGTCGCCTCTTACGACAAGCATAGTCACCATGCTTGCCGTAAAAGGTGACTATGCTTGTCGTAAAATGCGACTAACGGGATCGGGTGGTCAGGCACGCTGACTTGGTTGATGCATGTCATCGATCCCAATTGCTTAGATCGATGCTCATGATATCAATCACTGGATTGTCTGGTCCAGACTCGATTATTTACAGACCGCCGTCATATAGCTGGAATATTGCGGAGTGCGGCGTTAAACAACAAACCAACCAACCAATCAATTGGAACAACATCCCCCAGGCTGTTTTCAACCATATATCAATGCAAATATTGACAAATTATTGTCATTTCGACAACCCGATATTGACATTGTTAATTATACTGTTACACCATCCCTCTTTTCGGGCGTATCGCTATATCTCCTGTTACCAGGTATGGGTCTTGTCAATGAATTTGTTATGATAAAACATTGATCAGACGAATGACCAAACATAATGTTGTTATTTTCAATAACATATCATTTGCACAACTTTACATGAAGCATAGTTACGTTTTTCCGTTGGTATACATTCATTAAACTTACACCACAATGGGGATTATTTATTTACTCAGCAAGGTCAGCGTGCTCCGTGTTGCATACCCAGGGGTACAGGCAATGAATTTGTATACTACTGATTAATGTTCAATGAACTTTTAACCTCTGTGTATTAAGACTTTGAATAGCATCCAACACACTTCCCTTTATGCCTATTTATATCAGATTGGTTTGTTTGTTGTTTAACGCCGCACTCAGCAACATTCCAGCTGTATGACGGCGGTCTGTAAATTATGGAATCAGGACCAGACAATCCAGTGATTGACATCACGATCCACGCAATTGGGATACGATGACATGCATCAACCAAGTCAGCGAGCCTGATCACCCGATCCCGTTAGCCGCCTCTTACGACAAGCATATTCGCCTTTTACGGTAAGTATGGGTTGCTGAAGACCTATTCTACCCCGGATCTTCACGGGTCCATCAGTTTGATACCAGACAGCTGATGTTGATGGTGTCAAACGCCTTTTTTATATCAACAAAACAGACAAAAGTAGATTGCTTGTTCATTTTCATGTTCCAAGGTGCGATTAGTTCAAATTGGGTTTGACGTCGTGTTCAAGATTATTGGGGCGGTCGGGTAGCCTAGTGGTTAAAGCGTTCGCACGCCACGCCGAAGACCCGGGTTCGATTCCCGACATGGGTACAATGTGTGAAGCCCATTTCTGGTGTCTCCCGCCGTGATATTGCTGGAATATTGCTAAAAGCGGCGTAAAACCATACTCACTCAAGATTATTGCACTTATATAGCGACGTTTCGCGACGAAAGAGCATCATGAGTATTATCTTCAAGACAGTTTCTTCTAGGTGGAAATCCATTTTGTTTAACCATGTTTTCAGCTTCTGATTTGATAATATATAATTCACAAAGTACTGATATCCTGGTGCATCCATCACATCCAAGTAGACCCCGAGGATTTCCTCCGGCGTTTTGAATGGGTTTAATTATGTCTCCTGACATAAGGCGATACAGTGTTCACAAGACAATATTGAAAGTTTTTACTCAGCCAATAAAAGCGATAAAACCATTTTCTTTCATAAGAAATCTCCGCTTAAAAGCAGAGTCGATTGTACAATTCCGACTGTATCATGAGCATGTGTTTATGAATCACTATCAAATAGTGATTATACCAGGTGTTTCGCGAGGAAGCCTCAAATAAAACTTTTTGAAAGCGTTACTGACCTCTTAAATGTTGTAACCTAGATCAAACAATTTTTTAACAAGAGTCATATGGCGCCCTTTGAAACCATCGATTGTACCTCAAAAGTTGTGAAATGTAGACACCAAGGGCTTGGAGCTGCAGGAATATTGTTCGTCACAAAGGGAAACTTGACTATTGGAAAGTTGAGTCTTGTGGAGAGTTTTTCGTCACCCTGAATGTTTATGCACAGATTTAAAAATGTAACAGATTAGGTGGTTTCACTGTCCTCATTTATTTCTATTTCAGGTGAGTAACTCAGTGGAAGAGAATTGGCTATTTGACCCTTATGGAACGATGTAAGATTATCGATATACCTGAGACTTAAGTTAAACCTTTTGGCCAAATTGCCTCGTTTTGACTTTCCCAATTCGAGCAGGAATTCCGATTTATACGTATTAAGAAACATAGGTAAATGGTAATGTGAAGTTTGTAAAACTGCATGGCATCCTTCTCAACTTCCGTAATAGTTACTGCTTTTATTGAGGATACTTATATCCAGCAAATCTGGTTCGTCAGTGTTAGTAGATACTGAGTGAGTGAGTGAGTTAGGTTTAACGCCACTTTTAACAGTATTCCAGTTATATCGCGGCGTGTCAGCTTAATGGGGGAGGAAAGCCCCAAGTGATGCAGGTCTCAGACGTTTACCACTTCGGTGAAACCCACGAGCACGGGTATGGTGCTGACAAACCTAGATATATAATCGGGACGAACTGGGATTCGAACCCACAATCATAGGTTTCTGGCGTGCCCAAGGGACGCAACTCTGCACAGCGAATCGCGGAGTCTTAGGCGACTGGGCCACTCGTGCCCCCTCAGTAGATAGTATTTCTTGTATATTGAGATACAACTCATCATTGTTGAGTAGGTCACAATGTGAGGCCTTCTATCAGTGACATCACTTGGTCATGATCCTACTTACTTCTCCATTTTCACACTTGACTTCTATTATGACAAACTGTTTCCTGTCATTTGAAAATCCTATTTGTTAAATTTTATCTCCAGAACAGTCTTTCTGGTTCAGATGTAAGAGTTATTGTTGGTATTTTCTCTTGACAAAACGTTTCCTCACATCCAGATGCAAGATGTTTCTGTCGATTGATCTGCCTTTATAAGATGTTTTTTGTGCTGCAAACTTCCTTCCACAGGACATACTACCAGACCAACGGAGCTTGTGCAGTGATCTGCGTTATGGTTTGGGCCTTGGAGTGAGTGAGTGAGTGAGTGAGTGTGGTTTTACGCCGCTTTTCATCAGAAATGGGCTTCACACATTGTACCCATGTCGGGAATCGAATTGGCGTGACGAGCGAACGCTTTTTAATTTGCAGATACAAAGCCACGATATACACTCTTCAAAAAAGAAACGCACAGGTAGTATGAAGTTCAATGAACCTGACTACACAAAAAGCCGGTATATAAATTCGATATATGTTATTGGAAAATGTTGGTGCGTCAAAACGCAGCCATTGTCGATGTCTTAAACGGCATTGTTTTCACACTTGTTTAAAAATGTCATTGAGGAAAACAGTAAAGCAAAATGCACGTGCAAGTTATGGCATTCATAAGCATAAGCCAATAATTTGTCATGCAATTGTCAACATTTTTCAAGTTCGAAAATGCGGAGAATCAGCGCTGCCAATCGGAACATCGCCATAGGACGTACTCTAAGAGGGGAATCCAGTCTTCTGTTGCACAACACTTCAACGTCCACCACAGCACCATTTGCCGCCTTTGGGTCCGATACACACAGTTCAATTCCACTGCAGGCCGTCCGAAAACCGGCCGACCAAGAGTTCCACCTACGTCATCGCAATGCCACAGGTACGGAGACTGTAGAATGCATCCCTGGTTTGTGGAGGATATCGGACCAGACTGTCAGGAACAAACTTAGCGAGGCTGGAATCCGACCCAGAAGACCAGTTATCGTCCCTTTTTTATCCATCGACATCGACGCTTGTGTTGGTGCCATACCTTACAGCCTCAGAATTTGAGAAACTGGAGACGAGTGTGGTTCAGCGATGAATCACGATTTCTTCTTCACCGGCGAGATGGAAGACAACGTGTTTATCGTCGTCGAAATGAGCGTTTTGCCCCACATTTTCTAAGTGGTAGTGTTATGGTGTGGGGGGGCCATATCCTACACCACGAGATCTGGCTTGGTTGTGGTTCAGGGAAATTTGACAGCAAGTCGCTTCATGAATCAAATTCTGCAACTTCACCTTCTTCCAATCATTGACCTCCAGAAGGGACTGTTTCAACAGTACAACGCTCCACCGCGCACACAGCTCGTGTCACGGTAGACAACCTTCATAATGCCAACATCAACGTCTTGCCCTGGCCGTCGAGATCTCCAGATTTTAACCCAATCGAACACCTCTGGGATGAACTCGTTCGACGTGTACGTCTACGTCAGAACACGCCGCAGAGACTCCAACAACCGGTCAACGCGTTACAAGCGGAATGGCGCAGAATTCCGCAGGACAGAATTCGTACACTTATGCAGTCAGTGCCAAGAGGAGATGCAGAGCTGCGATTGCTGCCCGAGGCAACCTTATTGCCTTATTTGACATAACAATGAACATCATATTTTTGCAGCTAAATGATATTTAAGTCAGTTTCCTTATATTTGCATATATATATATATATATATATATATATATATATATATATATATATATATATATATATATATATATAATTTCAAGAAGCTAGTTTGGGTCTCACTGATTATATCTGGTAGAACTTGTTTAATTCTGTAAGCGACAGTGCTAACTGCTATTTTGTAATCAACATTTGAGACACTGATTGGGAGCCATTTTTTAAGTAATGACGGTCGCGTCCTTCTTTTGGTATACATGTAATTATTTTGAAATAATAAGTTTTTCCTTTTCACAAGCGTATTTTTATGGATCTCCATAAAAAAATTGCCAATATCTTTCCAGAAAAAAATATTTGAACCTCTACAGAGAAGCCATCTGATCCTCGACTGCTCGGGGGCACGGGTGGCCCAGTCGTCTAAGGCGGCGCGATTCGCTTTGCAGAGTTGCGTCCCTTGGGCACGCCAGAAACCTATAATTGTGGGTTCGAATCCCGGTTCGCCCCGATTATGTTTCTAGGTTTGTCAGCACCATACCCGTGCTCGTGGGTTTCACCGGAGTGGTAAACGTCTGAGACCTGCATCACTTGGGGCTTTCCTCCCACATTAAGCTGACACGCCATGATATAACTGCAATAATGTTAAAAGCGGCGCTAAACCCAACTCACTCACTCACTCCTCGACTGCTCCTATTTTTCATATGTTTTAAGGCCTGGGAATATTCGGCAAAAGAAATTTGTCTTTTATCTTTTGTCTTTTATCGACTGATAATTTGTATCAATATATACAAACGTATCTAGTTCTTTTCCCCAAATTTCAATGTGGTTTCCTTTATACAATTTTGTATAAACAGTTACAGTTTCGTTAATTGTTTCTTTCCTATCTATTAATTTTATATTAGTTTCTTCATCAATTATCTCACACATATTTTCTTTACAATTTTTTTCCGGATAAAAATTGTACCCTGTCTTTGCCTGGCTTCTGAATACAAAACCTTTTATTTTATTTGTTCTTCTTTTTTGTTATTTAAGTTTAATGTTTCAGGATCATGTAAGATGTGATATTTTGTTTCAAGATCATTTATATCTCTGTCCAGTTTTCTTTCTTTCTTTTCTCGTTCTTTTGTTGTTTTAATTGAGTTTGAAATAGTTTCACTTATCATTATTAGTGTAATGTGACCTTTACATAACAACTGACAGGGTCAATAGCATCATTTGTCAGTAGAATGGAATGAAACCAAACCAAGGGAGGTAAGCGTGCAGTTGACTCAAAGTATTTTATGATATATTACGGCGCTTCAACTGTTTCACACCTGTCTGATCATACCTGATCAAGGGAGGCAATCCCGCATTTCGGTAAACCTGCACTTAACCCCCTGGGTCCATTCCCGTGGTTCTCGCAATCTCAAATTACCCGCCCTTGATTTCTATTTGCCAATTTGATTGGCTACGCTACTCGGTCTAACGTACCAATCAGAATGCGAGTTAAAAGCTAGCCCCAGTGATGCGTTTGCCAGTCCCGTTGCAGAAATTCAACATTGAAAAACTGACTGACACGCAAAAGAAACCCCTCAACAATATTTTTGATGGAAAGGATGTCTCCATGTCCATTAAAGTTGACAAGTATGCGACGCACGGGGACCTTATCTCATCCTTCTTAGGGGAGGTCTCGTCGTCCGTCCTACCCGACCCAGGATAATGACCAGTCCTACCTTGCCGGATGCCAATCCACCGACATGCGCCCGGGCCTGTCGGGAGGGGTGACTCCTCAGAACCCAGCGGTATAAACTAACAGGTTTGAACCACTAGTCTTTATAACGATAACATATAGCAAAACCCTTAGAAAGGGCACATTTCTACTAGTCCTTATGATACCTTAACTACTGGGCAGTTTGGCAAGGCCTACAGGACTAGTGCCAATGTCTAACGCTGAGAAGCTCTCAGGACCCCATCTTATCCCACATCCCGGAATGAGTTTTCACAGTCAATCACTTTGCCCATGTCTGCTCAAGTCGACAAACATCTATAGCGTCTGTATGTCAAAAGATCTTGGAACTGAAAAACACGGTTTCAGCAGCGAGTCACAGGTGTATCATGGGTAAGTCAAAAGATGAATTAGATTATGACAGGGCATCGTCAACCAAGGGTGAACTTTCATCTATCTGGTCATACTGAGTCTGAGCAAGTCTCGCAAATCACAGCCGTACCACGTGTCATGTCAAAAACACCGTGCGCCACGTGCCTCTCTGCGGCATGGTATCCCAGTGTGTTAGCACGATAAATCGGCATCAGCCCGGACTAGTATAAGCAGCCACACTCACACTCACATATGCATGCACGTCGCGATATAAGTGCAATGATCATGGTGGCGATACCAAGCATCATTGGCTCCGAAGAAGAATACATCGGAAATGTGCATGATAATCGACCTAAAAGTAGGTTTTCCTGAAGTCCAAATGGAGTCAGCTAAGGAACTCCCTCATACTAGGAGATTGGATGATAAGTCTAGACTTACAGGATGCCTATCTTCACGTTCAAATTCATCCGTGTTGTCGACCTTATCTCCGAGTTGCAGTCTGCGGGCAGAGGTTCGAGCCCACGTTCTAGCGTTCAGCATATCATGTTATATCCTTTTATTAAGTGCAGGGACGTGGCGTCACGTCACTGCAGGATAATGCCCGCCCACCTATTGCACGTGTTGTAACCTACTTTTTGAGGCAACATAGCATTGCTGTACTGCCATGGCCAGCTGTTTCTCCAGGACTCTCCACCATAGAACATGCCTAGAACGCGGCCGGTGGACAAACGCCTACGGCAGGACCAGAACCAGCCGGCAACGCTAGATCAGTTGGCCCAATCTTTGTTTGACATTTGGAACAACATCCCCCAGGCTCTTTTCAATCATCTGGTGTCTTCAGTGCGCTACCTCGCCTCATCACGCCTCATCACGCTAGAACCCAGTGGAGGCATTCCATTCGAGAAAACAACGGACCAACGCACACCCGTGTTTACAACACAGGATAGAACACATCAATTCTAATACATGAATTGACGTTTAAAGGACTATTATGAAAAAAACAGTTTGTGAGGTTGTTATTGTTCATGTGTTGATTAATAAAAACTGACTTGAATATTTGTTTGCGTTTTATGGAGTTACATGGTGTGAATTTAAAAGAAAAGGAATTTCTTCCAGTAAACAACTAATAAAAATACTTTATCTTCAGGCTTTACCTGAAAACATATACTGTTCCCTGGACCTGGATGTCCCAAAGCAAACGCAAACTATCAGTTTACTGAAGTAACCTGTAACGGGATGTCCTCAGATCTTTGTGTAACTGTAGCGAGCACAAAGTTCTGATTTTAATGTGATTGGTCTGACCGAAACTCGATTTTTGCATATCGCTGTTACATAGCTTGTATATTGTGGCGTACAACAAACAGAATATTTGCCAGAGGGTATGCCTAACCGATTGGTTCAGCTATCGCGACATTTTGCAATGAAGACCAGGTCAGATAAACCACTGGCTACAAGCCAACACTGTAAGACACATTTCGGATACCGTGCCAATCATTCAATCAGCCAGGCCAGATACTGTGTCGTCCCTTCGATCCACATTTAAATGGCTCTTACGACAAGCAACAATAATGTATATATGTTGAGTCTCAGAACCCCATTGAGTATTAGACGCACGTATTACTCTATGTAGAAGATTAATTATTGACTTGTTTCGGTCTTGCATTGCTTAATGATACAGAACGTCTCCTGTATATAGAAAGACAACACTGTGATATCATAACCAGGTAACACAAATGACACATACCAAAGCAAGTTTTTTTAATATTTTCGTTTATTAAAAGTATGAGGAATATGTAATAGTAACATAACGTACCCAGTATCTGTCATCCGCCACAAACACATGCAAAGTCAAGTCAATTGTTCACCTGAAGAAACACGTGGTACAAGTCAAAATAGGGAATTGCATCGGACTTAATTTTTGTCCCTGATGCGTCAAACTCACGACAATGTTTATTATGCCAGTATTACTACGGCAGAGACTGTGTCTCCAAGCTTAGGAATTCCACCGTCCTGTTCATATCCTACAATGCATCAAATGGTCTTTCAACTTTCCCCAAAGAACTGAGTGGCACCTGACCTTTGAAAGATTCAAGATTTTGTCAAACACCGCTTTGACACTGTCATGGTCCATGGCGGAGGCTTCAACGTACTTGGTTTTCCACTCTTTCTTCGCAAAAAGTTTAGCTCCTTTGCATGTAGTTATTTTCTTATCATCATCAATGTCGGTCTTGTTCCCCACCAAGAGGATGGGCACTTCCTTCTTCTTTTTGATACGTAAAATATCATCCCTTATCATAGCCACTGTTTCAAAGGAGGATTCATCTTCCAAAGAAAATACCAGGATAAATGCATCTCCTTCTCTGATTGCCATCCGCCTTCTTTCCTGGAAGCAGTACCCCCCTGGGGTGTCCACAATGTCCAGGGCGACTCGTCGTTTTGCTTCACCTACAACAACCGCCTGTTGTTCCAGCTCGATGGTGAACCCACTTTGTTTAAGAAACTTGTGGTGTAGGAACTGAGTGATGATGGCACTCTTCCCAACCCCAGGGGCTCCCAGCACAACGATGTTGACCGATTCGTTGGTACTAGCTGCGGACATGACTCCTGTTTTAGAGTTGTACTACAGTCTATGAAACGTGCTCAGATACAACGAAGGTGAAGTTTGACATTCGGTGTTGACGCAGCAGGTTTTTATACAGATAGGAGTTTTTCACACCTTCTCTGGTGGTCCTTGAATGCTATGGAAATGCGTTTTAAATATTTATTGAAATACCCCATGCAAAGTAACCTGCCTTGTCAAAGTTGACAAGGCAAGAGAAATAAGAAAGGCATAAGTTGGGTTCAAGGTCATAGGTGTGGCATGACTTCTGGGCTGCCCTAAGCTATTATTATAATGAATTATATTTGGCAACTTGAGTTACCAGCAAGCAGCGGCAGCAGCGGCAGCAGCAGCAGCAATGGGCAACAATGTTGCCAGCAGCAAAATACTAAGTTTCTGCTGAAAAGAAGACATGAATTAAGTTGAGCCTAAAGGTTCCCATCCGCTGAGAAGCAGAGGAACTGAACAGATTCCCGCTGAAGAGCAGGGACCTGATAATTTTGATGATTACTTGGTGATGAAGTAAGTATTTCCATTTGTAGCCCACAAGAACCATGCCAACAGCACGCATGTGCTAAGCCCACACCAAAGACCATGAACCATGAGGGACCCCCCTAACTAGCCACAGACGAAAGAATTAAGTGTTACTTACTTTTCTTACTTACTACCTACAATTGGCATAGGGCTTCGTGGATCGCGCTTGTGAAAATTTGGAGTCCTTTGACTGATAGATGGACTCCATCCCAGACATACAGGGAACTATCCCCAGCGCAAATCTTGGGATGCTGGATATGCTTCCCCCCAAGCTCCCTTACACGGTTGCCCAACCGTCTGTTGACCTTTTTCCTAGCAATTTCAACTGCATCGTAGCAATTGGCTCCACGCCAGTGCCTCCTTGGTAGCATATCAGACCAAAGAATGGTGGTCTGAGGCATTAGCAGGTGGAGCCTCAACATAGCCAGGTGAATGTCCAGGTACAGCTGGCTGGCCTTCCTCTTACAAATATCATTTGAGCCAAGATGTATAAGTATGGCCCTGGGATGCTGGCCAGTCCTGGCTAGCTGTCGCTCGACCAGGGGCATTAGCTCCTGCCACAGCATCCCACCGCGAGCCATCCACAAGTAGTTGGAAGGCCAGCTGGACCCATTTAGTGAGAAGCATCAACCAGAAATGAACTGTTTAGGGGTAGACTGAGTGCGCAAACTGTTCGAACCGTCTGAGAACTGCTCACCTTAAAGCACGACGGCCATACTGCGGGCCGATTCTGACTCAATTACACAGACGTCAACGTCAATTGTGGGCACAGCGACACTTACGATGGACTCAGAGGAATTGGAATCAAGTCGTCTTCAGTGATGAATCCCGATTTAATCTCCGATTTGCTGATGGTAGGGCGAGGGTGTGGAGGCGCCGTCATGAACGGTACGCCCAGTGTTGTGTACAGGAAGTTGACAGATTTCGAGGCGGAAGTGTCATTGTGTGGTGCTTTCTGTGGCAATGCACGTTCCAGGCTTCTTGTCATCCGTGACAACCTCAACGCTGCTGCTTACCGCGACCAGGTACTGGCACCAGAACTTCTGCCTTTTATGGCAGCACATGGACCCGGTTTGATCTTCCAACACGACAATGCCAGAAACCACACAGCAATTTTGACAAGGAATTTCCTTCAGAATGCGGGAGTCAGCGTCATGGACTGGCCGTCAAGGTCTCCCGACCTCAATCCCATCGAACACGTCTGGGATGCTCTTGGCAGAAATCTGCGCACTCTCCAGAACCAACCACTGAATTTGCAAGATCTTGGCACCATTTTGCAGCAACAATGGCGTCGTGTTCCCAATCATGTGTTGACAAGCATCACAAGGTCCATGCGGAGGCGTTGTGTGGCAGTTGTCAACGCACATGGTGGCCATACACGCTACTGAACTTGTGTGCCATCAGATTCTCGTGCTTGGGACTTATGATTTAAACTGTTGATGTTATTACCGAATACCGTAGGTGCTTGGAACAAATTATGGTTACCACCGTTAATTAAAATCCTTCTTTGGACATTAATGATTAACAATTACCTTCTCTCATAAATTTGTCCGTTGTATATCATATATCAGGCAATTAAATTAAATGGATCGGATTGTGTGCTAGCGTATTTCAACTGCCTGTACAGTGCTCATGATGTCAATAACTGGATTGACTCGATTATTTAGAGATCGGCGTCACATAGCTGGAATCAAGGGGCAAGAAGTAGCCCTGAAACGTCGTTACAAATAATAAATGGAGGGGCAAGAAGTAGTCCCAAAACGTCGTTACAAAGAATGGATGAAAGGACAAGAAATAGTCCTGAAACGTCATTACAAAGAATTGTTAAAGGGACAAGAAGTAGTCCTGAAACGTCGTTACAAAGAATGAATGAAGGGGCAAGAAGTACGACTGAAACGTCGTTACAAAGAATGAATAGAGGGACAAGAAGTATGGCTGAAACGTCGTTACAAAGAATGGATGAAGGGACAAGAAATAGCCCTGAAACGTCGTTACAAAGAATGGATAGAATGACAAGAAATAGCCCTGAAACGTCATTACAAAGAATGGATAGAATGACAAGAAATAGCCCCTGAAACGTGGTTACAAAGAATGGATGAAGGGACAAGAAGTATGGCTGAAACGTGGTTACAAAGAATGGATGAAGGGGCAAGAAGAAGTCCTGAAACGTCATTACAAAGAATGGATGAAGGGACAAGAAGTAGCCCTAAAACGGCATTACAAAGAATGAATAGAGGGACAAGAAGTAGTCCCAAAACGTCGTTACAAAGAATGGATGAAGGGACAAGAAGTAGTCCTGAAAAGTGGTAACAAAGAATAAATGAAGGGACAAGAAGTAGTCCTGAAACGTCATTACAAAGAATGGATGAAGGGGCAAGAAGTAGTCCTAAAACGGCATTACAAAGAATGGATGAAGGGACAAGAAGTAGTCCTGAAAGGTCATTACAAAGAATGGATGAAGGGGCAAGAAGTAGCCCTAAAACGTCATTACAAAGAATGGATGAAGGGGCAAGAAGTAGCCCTAAAACGGCATTACAAAGAATGGATGAAGGGACAAGAAGTAGTCCTGAAACGTCATTACAAAGAATGGATGAAGGGGCAAGAAGTAGTCCTGAAAGGTCGTTACAAAAAATGAAAGAGGGACAAGAAGTAGTCCTGAAACGCCATTACAAAGAATGTATAGAATGGCAAGAATTAGTCCTGAAACGTTGTTAGTGTCATAGTTCCAAAATACATCATATTTTCTTCTATTTTTTGTAAATAATTTTGACTTAATAAAATAAGACTAAGCAAGATATTTTGTGTATATTACTTAATAATTTGTGTACTAAAAGTCTATCTCAGTCGGCGATGATGTTCGCCGGCGTTCATTCACAAAGTTTGGTTGATAGGCATTATGTATTAAGCGTTAAGACTACATGCGTGTTCCGTCCAAATTTAATTATCAGTCGGTGTTGATATACGCCTGCCTTCATTCCCAAGATATAGTCTATAAGCGTTATGAGCTAATCGTTAAGACTACATGTCCAGCGAGAGAAGTAAACATGATTACTCTATGATAACGCGCTGTCCGAGAAAACTTATGTAATTTTAGTCATTTCTGCATACCCATGTCCTTCAAAACTGCGAGGTAATCTCTAAATTCAGATAGTCAGCACGTTAGATTAGCAACATTGTGTAAGTGATAATTGAAAATGCAACCATATGATGACCTAAGAGCATCGGTGGTATAAATAACGGCCTTTATTCCGGGTACCTCACTGATTAGATACACGGAATAACGACTTGCCACTAACAGATGCTTCTCTTGGTTGTTTTAAGGTAAGATATGTTCACTTCATATATATTGTATGTTCTTCCTATTTTTCCTGTTTTCTATTGCATTCTATGTTCTTAGTTGCTTTGAATATAATCAACATTTTAAATTAGGCATTAATGATAAAGGTAACCAGTAAAAAATTTCATATGTTTTAAGGCCTGGGTATATTCGGCAAAAGAAATTTGTCTTTTATCTTTTGTCTTTTATCGGCTGATAATTTTGTATCAATATTTACAAACGTATCTAGTTCTTTTCCCCAAATTTCAATTTGGTTACCTTTATACAATTTTGTATAAACAGTTACTGTTTTGTTAATTGTTTCTTTCCTATCTATTAATTTTATATTAGTTTCATCAATTATCTCACACATATTTTCTTTTCAATTGTTTTCCAGATAAAAAGAGTACTCTGTCTTTGCCTGGCTTCTGAATATAAACCTTTTATTTTATTTGTTCTTCTTTTTTGTTATTTAAGTTTAATGTTTCAGGATCATGTAAGATGTGATATTTTGTTTCAAGATCCTTTATATCTCTGTCCAGTTTTCTTTCTTTCTTTTTTCGTTCTTTTGTTGTTTTAATTGAGTTTGAAATAGTTTCACTTCTTCTTATTATTTTTAAAAGCTCAAAGTGATGTTGGTCATTAATTGAGAATTCCATACTAACTAACTCGTTCCTATCGCTGGATATACTTAGTTCATTTATAATATCATTAATAGTATATTTTACAAGTGTAATGTGACCCTTACATTACAAGTGACAGGGTCAATAGCATCATTTGTCAGTAGAATGGAATGAAACCAAACCAAGGGAGGTAAGCGTGCAGTTGACTCAAAGTATTTTATGCTATATTACGGCGCTTCAACTGTTACAGTTACTGATGCTGCTGTGAGAGTAACTATGCAGTGTGATTGCACTGTGTAGTCCGGACAAGAGGAAAAAAGGCTTAATAAAGGTAGCTAAGGTATATCTCACAACAGAAGTAATAACACAGTGGTTGATACTCTGTCAATTCTCTCCACGAATGTCACAGGATAGTAATTTGAAGGAAACTAGAAATGAAAAATCCAACACAGATTTTGATGTAAGTAAATTATAAAACTAAAGATTGTCAGGATCTTCTGTCCATTCTCTTAAGAAATCCCTATTTG